GAACTACAATTGCAAACCAAACAACTACGGTTTGATTCCCAGTCAGGGCACGTGCCTGGGTTGCAGGATAATTCCCAGAAGGGGACACACAAGAGGCAACCATACATTGATATTTCTCTCCCTCTCTCCTTCCCTTCCCTTTAAAGATAAATAAATAAAATATTTGAAAAAATAACTTATGATTCGGTGTAATACATATTATAACAGAGGTATTGCAGAGAGCAATAGCATATAGCTTCTGCATATAGCAGAAGTGATTGATTTTGCCATGGGTTAGGTCAGGGATGTGATCACGATGTTTTTCTGAAGGACATGATATTTGAAGGGTGGGTTGATCAGAGTTGGATAGTCCAAGCAAAACTAATAGGTTGATAGAATAAATAGCAGATATTGGCCCTTCATGGTGGACTGGAGAGAAACAACCAGTGTCAGCATTCCAGCACCTGCCAGGGAAATATCAGCCCTGGTAAAGTCAAAGATGCCATCCAGTGATCTGACTGCAGACCCTGCACTCTAAGACATTCTATACTATGACTATAATACAGCTGGAACTACTGACTGAGAATGAAATATAAATAGCTTTATCTACATGTAGTAAGAAGCAATGGGCATTATGAGAGAGGGGAAAGGACAGGGGAAGCAAATATACTTATGTTTTTAGAAAGATAAAATGTAGAAGCTGAAGACCTTATATGTATGATCCATGGACATGAACTAAAGGTGGGGAATGTGCGTGGGAGGGGCTGTGCAAGACAGAGGAGAATAAAGGGGTGGAAATGGAACAATTATAATAGCATAATCAATAAAATATATATATATATTTAAAGATTTTATTTATTTATCTTTAGAGGGGAAGGGAAGGAGAGAGGGAGAGAAACACCAATGTATGGTTGCCTTTCGTGCGTCCCCTGCTGGGAAATGGCCTGCAGGGAACCAGCCTGCAACCCAGGCATGTGCCCTGACTGGGAATCGAACTGTGATCATGTGGTTCGCAGGCCCATGCTCAATCCACTGAGCTATACCAGCCAGGGCAAAATATATATTTTTTAAAAGTAAGATAAAATGATCTCCTAAATCTTGTATTTCACTCCTTATCTGAGGTTTAATGTAAGAAAACACTCCCAATTCAGCAAGTAAAAGTACAGGCTACCCAGTAAAATTTCAATTTCAGCTAAACAACAAACATTTTTAATATAAGTATGTTCTATAAAATATTTGGAACATACTTTTACAGAAATAATTATTCACTGTATATCTGAAATTCAAATTTAGCCAAGCCTCTTGTATTTATTCTGTAGCCTTATCTCCAGTTCACTTTCTGCCAAGGATTAAGAAGGCCTCTGTACCCTGCACATTTGATACATCAAACTGAGCTAAAACAGAGATTATGGTGTGGGTCAGACATTAAGGGGTCAATGGAAAATCCAGAGACTAATGGGAAAGACAGAGGAGACACAGACTAATCTGTGGACAAATTGGCCTGACTGCAGGGTTCTTTGTGTGACCCAGGCTTTTTGCCGAGAGGTGTACTCTGCATGTGCCCACCCAACATAATGTAAAAATTAAGAGCACACACTTTAAAGTCACATGCCCTTAAGTTCAATTCCCTGCTCTAGCTCATACATGCCTTGTAACCCAAGAAAAAATTGCTTAACCTCTCCAAACATAAATTTCTTTATGTAAAATTAGGATAATTATGGCCACCTCCCAACAGCTTTATTGTTACGTTGCATCTAGTCTGGTACCTGGCCAGAGTTAACAACATTAGCCTATTATTGTTATTATTATTATGAGTCCTAGTCCTGCTTGCATGGCTGTCACTCCCTCCTCTGGGGCAACCCAAGGTATACAAATAGGATTGCATAGGACAGAACAGAACAGAATAAGCCCACCACTTATTTTTTACTTACTATATACAAGGTACTGTACTGTTTGCACATATTTTGTGAACTAATCTTCGTAACACCTTTGAGAGACAGCATATTCCTATTTTGTAGATATTGGATCCAAGGCATAAGAAATTATAAAATATTCCTAAGGTCACAGGGTCACACAACTTGTATGTGCCAAAACTGAAATGAAAAGCCAGTTCTATCTGATCCCAACGCCTAAGTCTTTAACCATGACACACACATCAGAATGTCTCTATGCAATTTCTGCCCAGACTGAAGTTTCTTCCTACACTAGGAAAGAACTCTGATCAGACTTGTCAGTCATGCATGGAGATGTCCACAAGAATTAAAGCATTCCATTTGCCTTTTATTCTTGTGTCTCCTTACTAAATTAGAATGGCATTCTGGGTGAAGGTCCTCATCTTCCTCTCCCCGGCTTGGGTAAGATCATTTTTTTTAATCTACTTTTTCCCCAACTTTAAGTAAAATTCATTTGCTTATGTCAATGGAGGGTAAGTCACAGCTTCTATTAATAGTGCAGATAAGTAAGCATGAAATTATACTATGTCCCAATTTTACAGATGAGAAAACTGAGACTTAGAGGGATATCAGTCACTTGCCAGAATCACACAGTTATCACACAGATAACTGAGGGAACTATCATATTACCTGAGTCCAGGCTTCTCTTCTCAAAATTATTTTGCATGTCTAAAGCGTTGTCCTAAAAATAAAAGCTGTATCCATGAACGACATAGACCAGAATTCCTCCATCCTGGAATCTGATATCTCTTGGAAAGGGAAACATTAAATAATCAAACAAAAATAATATTTAAATGCCAGTAAGGAAGAATAGTGTATACAAGATTATAATACAGGGATCTGAGTTGGATTAGTGGGTTACAGAAGTTTCCACCGAAGGAGAGATATTATAGCCAAACAGAAAGCTAAAAGTCATAAACCAAGGAGCAAGAAGAAAATACAGCAGAGAAAACTGAATACCCAGCCTGGCCAGTGTTTAACCAGGTCACACAGGGAGTCTGGAGATACTGACAGGAATGGAAGCCAATTACCCCTACCCTTGGTCTGGTGCTATTTCCTTGATGCCAGACCATCTAATGCACCTGCTTCATACCCCTTTTAGCTGATGTCTTTGAGAACCTATCAGGCTTCCCTCTTAGGTTGCAATATCCAGAGCTTTTGCCTGCCCATACAGTGTTCTTATAGTGAATTAGGAAATATGCCCCCTCTAGGCTGGTTAGACCCTGAAGGCTCAAATTTTGTGCAAAGTAAGAGGTCTTGCTACCCTTTCCCAAATGAGTAAAGCCACAAGTCAAGGTCCATGGCTAATAGAGAATCCATGAATGTTATTTCTCCACTAGCCCCTTGGACATTCCCAGTGCTCAGGTCTAAGCAACGATTTTGATGGCATCATTCTAACTCTTTGCAAACTTTCTACCATGGATCACTATCTCTAGGTCACAACTCTTTCGGAAAGACAGGATCAGTGCCTTCTTAAGAAGATAAAATTTAAAAAATTGAAGGATCCAAGCAGAGCTACTTGATGGCTTTTGAGTGCAGTTTGATGCCTTGTAAAAAGTACAAAACCAGGAGAAAGAGGGCCACATCCTCACATTCGCTCTGTGACACTAGACAAGCTTCCTTTTTCCAGACCTCATTTAACTCACCGTTTATTAAAAGAGCCCTCGGGCAGTCACAACATATAAGCTTTGGTCAAATGGTAAGCTTAGGAAGCCCCAACTCCCTATCTCAAAGAACTGAACTTACAGCATTCCTCAGGATAGCCAGTATCATCTAGGTTGAAACAAATTTTATCCCCTTGAGCATTTATATCCAAAAGGAAGGATATTTTACATCTGAAATACATAGCAGCATCTTAAATCCAATATTTCTTTTCATTGTGTAAAATAATTTTATTACTTTTAATGGTTGCTATATGTCTCAAGTAATGTGCATTCAACTCTGGAAAAGATAACTTTGCCCTCAATGAGCCTCCAGCCTATTGGTGGAGACATATAATCAGGTACCTATTAGACACGGGAGAGAAACACCCAGTTCTTTTTGGAAAAAACAGAAGAAACTTTCCAAGGAAGTCAAAGCTGAGGCCAGTGCCCAGAACAATATTAGGCTCCTTGAGGGTTGTGGAGTGAATAAAACATTCTGAATTTACGAGATCCAGAGTCTAGCCCTAGCTGGTGTGGCTCGGTAGATTGAGCATTGGCCTGTGAACCAAAGGGTCACTTGTTCAATTCCCAGTCAGGGCACATTGCCTGGGTTTTGGGCCAGGTCCCCAGAATGGGGCATGCAAGAGGCAACCACACATTGATGTTTCTCTCCCTCTCATTCTCCCTCCATTCTCCTCTGCCTAAAAATAAATAAACAAGTAAACGAAATTAAAAACAGAGAGATCCAGAGATTAGAAGAGAGAACTATTAAAGTACTGAGTTCTCAAACATTAGTCCAAGCATTTTTGTAACAGATGATAGAGCAAGTAACTTTGTGGAGTAGGGTGGAAGAGTCATTATAAAGGTTCACAGAGAAGGGAGCATTTGAACCTGAGCCTGAGGAATAGCAAGAGTACTCCAAGGGGAGATGAAGGGGAAGATACTGCAAGAAAAATAAAGAGCATGAACAAAGGCATGGGGATGTGAATGAGGACAGGAATGAGGGTGTGAATGGAAATGCTCATGTGAGGACAAGTAATTAGCTCAGAGCATGCAGATGGGAGGGAGTAGGCACACCTGCCAATCTTATTTACTACTTGACTTGTTGGCACTGCATAATAGTTCTGCCTGATACCCATCTAATTGTCAATGCCAGCATGGGAACTAGCTCCAAAAGAGTTACTGCAGTGCCATTTTATACATACACATTAGAAAAACCAAGAAGTCTTCCCTTTCCCTATATGAAAAACTATAGATTTGAAAGATAGGGCAGGACTCATCAGATCCAAGAGCAAGCGGTGTAGAAATCTTGTGCAACAAAGTAAATTCCATAGCAGATGATGTCACCTGCAAATGCCCTATAAATGGAGCAAGACAACAGGTGCATCGGGACACTTTCTCTCTACCAGTACCCAGTGCTACAAACATGGCTGTCTCAGTGCTTCGGGTGACAACTGTCCTGGGACTGCTTGCCTTAATCCTGACTTGCCTGGCTGGTAAGTGTTTTTCCGGTCGAAGCTCGAGCAGTGTGCAGTAGTTAGCCCTGACCAGAGGAAGCTGGCTGATAGCACCAATCCAAAACCTGAAGGGCAGAGAGGGGGAGGGGCCTTTGGACACTGGCCTAGGAGTCCAGAAGCAGATCTTCCAATACAAAAAATGTAGAATTTCTACTCATTGTGCTTCAGTTATATCCTTCATCCTCAGTGAATGTGTGAAGTATGAAATGATTTCTTTCTTATATATTCTGTGATATAGTGACACTTTTATGTTATCAGAGAGCCAAGAGTGTTTATTTTTGAATAGTTATAACTGATAATGTTCAAAGGTGAAGAATATATACTCTGGAATAAGACTCCTAGGCCTGACTTCACAACTAATCAGAAATGTGACTTCAGGCATTTTATTTAATTTCTCTGGGCCTCACATGTAAAATAAAATATCAATAGTTAGCTTCCTCATAAATGTATCATGAAAATTAAATAAAAGAGACAAAAATTAGAAAAGTACTTGGTCTATAATAAGCACCAATAAATATTAACTGTTATTGTTATCATGCATTATCTCATTTAATTCTCATAGTAATTCTGTTCTGCACACACATAGTTTTATTATTTCCCAGTTTGTGAGTTAATAAACCGCACTTGCAAAGGGAAAATTACTTGAGCAGAGACACTGGTAGCGGTGGCACACCTTAGACTAAAACCAAAGTCCCTTGATTCTTTCTGTCATAAGTTAGTATCTACTTTCATGTCTCTTTCTGGCACACAGAGGACCACAAGGCAGCATGCAGAATCCTCAGTAACTCATGCTTTTTTGGTCTGTAGAAGATAGTGAGCCCTTGACTTGTCTCTATTCAGAAGGACAGGTCAGAAAATACAGACAGTGCACATACTGCCCCTGAAACTGTTCTAAATGTAACATGGCAGAGCTCACCCTCAGCCACTCTCTATGCATCAGCACAGCACATAGGCAGACACCACAACAGAACCATAGAGGTGGCCTTAGAGACTACTGTGCCCATCCACTCCTGCAGGAATTGCCATGGTGGAGTGAGAGGTGAGACTGACATCCTACAGACTAGTCCAAGTTCTGTTTCTCATGAACTCTGGGTAAATCAGTTCACTGCTTTGAACCTCAGTTTCTTCATGTGTAAAATGGGATAATTATAACTTTCACCAGATCAAATGAATATGCTTTTGTAATCACCTGCAGATTATAAAAACTATACCAACATCAGCGTACTGTGTTTTTGCAGAACTTTATGATTATATTGATTATGAAACTCAACCAGGTAGTTAATGTAAATAAGGGTTATCACATATTTGAAAAGAGAAAATATTCAACCATTGGCTTTGATCACCAGTTTCTAGTAAATCACATTTCTTAATTTTATTATTATTTATTTTTGTTTTCTAACATTTTCAAATTTCTTAATATTTTAACATTTTTTGATTTTCATGATCTCCAAAAGCACTAGAGAAGAAGGCTACTATAAATTGCTTTGTTATTATTTTAAATAATAGTAGTAATAACACTGCAATCATTTATTGTGGGCTTACTTAGAGCCTGGTATTGTGATAAGTGGTATTTATAAGAAATTACATTTAGTTGACGTTCAGCCAAGATGAAGGCATAGGTGGAAATACTGTACCTCCTTGCACAACCAAATTTAAGGACAACAAAGATTTAGAAACAAAAATACAAGCAGAATAGATAGAAAATTGAACTGTACCGAAGTCCAACAACAACAAACCATTCATCCAGACTAGTAAGAGAGGCGAAGTCAGAGGCCAGCAAAGAGGGTTCCCGGCAGAAAAAGGCAGTGACTGGCAACCTAGGTGGGTGCCAATGGAAACCCAGTGAGGTGTGCAAGGTGGCTGGCTGACCATGGACACACATTAGCAGACAGATAAACCATGCAGATTTAAAAACAGTCAGTGAAACAGACCACACAACCCAGGGCCCCGGCAATGAGAAATAAAGCCTTAAAGGACCAATTGGAAGAACTTTCGAGGGTTGAGGTGCTGGGAGAGGTGCCCAGCCTCACACAGGAGAGTTCATTGGAGAGACCCACAGGGCCCTAGAACATACACAAGCCCACCCACCTGGGGAACCAGCACCAGAAGGGCCCAATTTGCTTGTGGGAAGTGGCAGAGGGGACCCAAATCCAAGAGAGAGCCCAACAAACACCATTGCTCCCTCTCTGACCCTGCCCCCTGTCACAACCCAGCCACTGTGTAGACCCACCCTGGTGAACACCTAAGTCTCCATCCCTCATACGTAACAGGCACGAACAGACTGAAACATTATGGCTCAAGCAGAAAAACAGCTCAAAACTCCACAGACAGCCAACCTATTAGATGCACAGTTCAGAACACTGGTGATCAGGATGCTTACAGAACTGGTTGATTTTAGTTGCAAATAAGATGAAAAAATGAAGGCTACACTAAGTGAAACAAAGCAAAATGCATAGGGAACCAATAGTGATGGTAACAAAACTGGGACAAAAAGCAATGGAGTGGACCAGAAGGAAGGAAGAAACAATCAAACAGAAAAGAATGAAGAAAGCAAAATTCAAAAAAAGGAGGAGAAGCTTAGGAATCTCCAGGACATCTTTAAATGTTCCAATGTCCAAATTATAGGGGTACCAGAAGGGGAAGAGGAAGAGCAACAAGTGAAAAACTTATTTGAACAAATAATAAAGGAGAACTTCCCCAATCTGGTAAAGAAAATAGACTCCCAGGAAGCCCAGGAAGCTCTGAGAGTTCCAAAGAAGGTGGACCCAAGGAGGAACACACCAAGGCACATCATCATTACATTAGCCAAGATTAAAATGAAAGAGAGAATTCTAGAAGCAGCAAGAGATAAGGGAACAGTCACCTACAAAGGAATTCCCATCAGACTGTCAGCCTATTTCTCAACAAAGACCTTACAGGCAAGAAGGGGCTGGAAAGAAGTATTCTAAGTCATGAAATCCAAAGACCTACAACCAAGATTGCTCTATCTAGCAAAGCTCTCATTTACAATGAAAGGGCAGATAAGGTGCTTCTCAGATAAGATCAAGTTCAGAAGAGTTCATCATCGCCAAGCCCTTATTATATGAACTGTTAAAAGAACTTATTTAAGGAAAAGAAGATAAAAAATATGAACAGTGAAAGGACAGCAAACTCATAGTTATTAACAACCACACCTAAACAAAAGCAAGCTAAGAGGACAGCTAGATCAGGAGCAGAACCATAGAAATGAAGATCACATGGAGGGTTAGCAACAGGGGAGTGGGAGGAGGAGAAGGGGGAAGAAGGAACAGAGAATAAGTAGCATAGACAGTAGGTAGAAAATAGACAGGGGGAGGGCAAGAATAGTATGGGAAATGTAGAAGCTAAACTTGTGACACATGAACATAAACTAAAGGGGAGAAATGTAGGGGGAGGGGTGTGCTGGGTGGAGGGGAATGAAGGGGGAAAGCAGGACAACTATAATGGCATAATCAATAAAATATATTAAAAATAAATAATATTTATACATATATGATATATAGGAACAATATATGAAACACTTTTTGATCCTGATAACATGGTGAGGAATTGAAAGTGTGTCAAGTATTGTATGCAAGGTTACATGGGCAACCTTTTGAATACATGAAGTATGTAGGACTCCAAAACATATGGTCCACCAGACCCTAATCTACTCTGTATATACATGGTCTAAGGACTGGGAACCAAGGATCTGATCTTCACATACTCCAATCCAGGGCACCTTTGCATATTAAAAAGCTACCATGTAGTGTTATATATTTTTAAAAAGTCAAGTAGGCAGATAGGAAGAACACAGGAAAAAAATCACTCTTTATGCAAGGAACCTCTCTTTTCTGTCTGGTAAATATATGCAGGTGATAATTGCTTGAAAGCATTATTATGTGTAAATAACAAGGTCTGTGGAGTTAAAAAAATTAGGTTAAAACCTGGCTCAGCCACTTTCTAAATGTGTGATTTCAGGTGAGCCATATAACTTCTCTGAGAATTTTGTTTTCTCTCCTGTAAAACTGCAGTACTGTTATTGAGTTATGTAAGAATTAGGGCATTCTACACAAGCAAAGTCCCGGTGCCTGACCAAGAGGCCTAGCATCACAAATACGCTCTCTTTGCTCCCCCTTCCCATGGGAAAAAAAAACAAACAAAACCAAAGCTATTCTGGTCACTATGGTTGCCCTGCATTTTACATGAGGTCCATTTCCTTATATGGCCATTTTTACCTTAACTCTTAGCATATGCTATGTACATAATAGTAGGCTCAAAATAAATATTTTTTAAAAAGCTTGTAGAATGAAAACAATACCTAACAACTGAATGAATGAATACTTGGTGATTGGTACATTAATTCTGGTTATATGTCCTAGACTGCTGCTCCTATCAAATCTTTTGTTGTGGCATAGTAAGCAATAAATATTCGTAGTTCTAAATGCCATATCTTTTTACTAAGAGTTTCTATTTTAGAGTACAATATAAATGTAAGACTTCTAACCTAAGGTGACTACCTCCACACAAAAAGCTAGTTATACCTTTTCCACTCAGAGTCCTGGGTACATTGTCTAGAAGTAGAGACTTCTTAAGTCAAAATTTGTGGTGGGATTGCAGATAAAATATAGGGCACTCAGTTAATTTGAGTTTTGGATAAATTATGAATAATTGTTTAGTTTGAGTATGCTCTAAATATTGCATGGGTCATTTTTATGCGGAAAATTATTGCTTATCTCTAATTCAACTTTAACTGGGCCTCCTGTGTTTTTATTTACCGAATCTAGCAGCACTACTTGCAAGGCTATAATGAAATAAAATGACAAAGATCCTACTCCATCCTGGTGCCAGGGTTGAGTGGGGAGGCCACAGGTTGCTACTAATTGCTCTTCTTTCATTCCTTCTGATCTCCTGAATTATTAGAACACTAAGTACAGCAAGCCTCCCACACAAGAGAACTTGCATTACAGCAATCTCCAACCTCACTCGCTGGATCCTTGGCCTCATTCTAAAGAGGCCAAGACTCTTGATTAAGACTCAAGAGTAAGAGGTCTCCAGTTATAGTTTCATCTTCTCTTGCCTTTGGTGAGTCTTCTTCAAGTCACCTAATCATTTCGACTTCTTAGCTTAATGAGCAAAAATATATGCACCCAGGGTATGTGGGTATGTGGTCAACAAATGCTACTCATGATTATTTCATCTTCATTATTATCAGTACCATGGGCCCAGGGACTACATGGAAAAAGAGACCACGCAATTGAAATGAAACCAAACATTCTTTATTTCAATCCTGGCACTGACATTTAAGGCTTCTTAACTCTGGCCAAGTGATTTAGCCTCCATGAGCTTCATTTTTCTCCAGGAAGGGGAACAACATCTACCAGAGAATCAATGTCTGTCGGTCTGTTTGACTGTTTTCAGGAATAAGTAATATAATGCATGTAAAGACTTTTCACCGGGCGTGCATTAAATACTGAATAAATCCACTACATGAGGCTCCTAAGTTGATTTGTGGGGGTACCATAGGCGCTAGGGTCTCCCTACAAAGAAGAGAAACATTTCATTCTTGTTGCTGAGAATCACTTCTGAGATTCTGTTGTGTTTTTCAGATGACAAGCCAGATAAGGAGTCAGATGACACGGGCAAAATTCCAAAGCCAGATTTCCCCAGATTCCTAAATGTCTTGGGCAGAGAGATTATTGAGGATGCAGTGTCAATCTTCCTGGGCTCCGTGCTGAGGCACAAGTAAGTACTGAGGCAAGCATTGCTTTTGTCTAGTTCACTGTTGATAATGACCACATCGCACTAAAATGAATGAGAATCAAATTCGTGGTGCATGCCAATGTATTATTTTAATGAAAAAGTATGCCCTTAAGTCTTATTTCCCTGAACTCTTTGGGGTGATCATATTCCCATTAAGCAGTTCTATAAAATATTTTTTTATCTCAGGACCCAGTAAGGAGGAGGAAGAGCACCAGACCAAGAGACAGAGAGCCAAGTTCTGGTCTGGGCACAGGTGCTCCTTCACTGGGTGATCTTGGGCAAGGTGCTCCATCTCTATGGGCCTCTGTTTGCTTATCTTTAGAGCTAAAGGAATAAACTACCCATCAGTGAAGATCCTGTAATTCTTTGGTGAAGGTGGTAGGTAATGGTGTGTTCAACAGCTACAGTTGTGATCAGTCCTGCCTATAATTTGAGTAACCCAAAAGGGTTAGAGGTGGATGCTAATCTGTCCTCAGGGACAATCTACATGAGTGTTTTGATTATGAGGAACTTTCCTTGGTGGCAGATCATAAATCTTTCCAATGTTCTCTAACTGCTTCCAAGCCCCTGGGCCCAAATGCTCATGCATCTTACTCCACTCTACATAGCTCTGATTTTTACTTCTGCTTTGCCCTGTTTGTTCTCCCCATATTACTCTCCCTAACTTCAGCTCTCTGGAATCCAATTCATTCTGAATTTCTAGGTACTTTCAATCTCTACCTCTCTGAGCCTCTGCTCTCCAATCCTCTCCTTCACAGACCTCTGAGTAGAGTTTGGAAAAGTGTGCTCTATTATTCACCTGCTTCAGAATTCCCTGGAGAACTTACACAAAACACAGGCTCCTTCATTCCATCTTGCACCTTCCTGGGACAAAGCTAAGGATATGCTTTTTAACAAGCTTTCAGGGGGTTCTGACAATTCTGCTATACAATAGATTTTGAAAGCCTTTGATTATATGTTCTGAGCCACATGGCCGGGTGTGAAGGAGTTGCATAGCCTTTAAATTTTTATTCATATTTTGTGTAAATGTGACTACTTGCATTTTCTAGGAAAATGCTTCTAACTTTTACCAACTCCTCAAATGGGGTCTATGACCAATAACAGACTAAGAACCACTGCTGTGTAGAAGTAACCAGGGGTCCTTTTGTAATCTCTGATCTGCATAAGTAAATATAGTACCATGAGGATTGGCAGAATTCTGCATACAATCCTCATGCATGAATGTTGAAGCTTACAGATGCTTATTTTTATATTGTTATTTATCTATTATGGCTGCTTTTGCAACTCGTATGTCCTCATAATTGTCAATGTAAACGAGGAGAGGACGGACAAGCAAACAATAGGAGTAGTAACCATTATGTACAAAGTACAGATTAAAATTGAGTTAAAATCATAATGTAAATCACAACAATAGCAATGCAGGTAGTTGGAACTATCATTGTTCTTTTTATTCCTCCCCTGGGGAATTCCCCAGATATAAAATAACACTTTCTCTTCTATTAACCCTGAAAGTTGACTATCTAAAATACTAAAAGATTGCAGTCAGCTGTGGGTTCAGAAATGGCACCTCCACTTCTACCATTTCATTTCTTTCATTATATTCTGAATAAATAATGTTATTTCTGTTCCTGGAACTTTCAGACATTTCAGGCCTTCTGTCATTGCTTTCACTTCTGCCTAAAACCTTTCTCATGGCTAGTTCTTTGTCCTGAAGCTCACCTCCTCAGAAAACTACTCTATAATGACTCATATTAACACTGTCTTTTTTCATTCCCTGGTTCTTCTCCATCACTTCACCTTGTCGCAGTGTCATTATCACAGGTATCACTATCTCAAATAATTTATTTTAATACAAAACATTAAATATTTTTAACATGGAAGGAGGGATCAGATCTATCTAGCTCACTGCTATAGCACAGTACCTTATAAGTTATATCAGGTAATCAGTAAATAGTTGTTGAATTATTTAAGGGAAATTATCTCAGAGATCAGGTCTAAAGCCCATCTGCACCAATTTGACTGAGGAATTCTGAGGGAACTTTGGTAAAAGAATAGCAGTTTTTGCTCAAGGTAACAAATCTAGCTATCCCCTCTCTCTCCAAGGGATAACCATAAATATAATGGGAAATGGAGAATGAGAGGAGACCATCAAGATGTATTCCTAAGCACTTAATACATGCAAAGTAGGGGCAGGAATTGTGAAGGGAAAATTGAGACCATAAGTCTGTCCTCAAATTCTCAAAGAATTTGCAGATTTTACAGTAAGATAACACGAGCAAATGCAATGATAATTAAAATGCCAAATAAGATAAATATCAGCCAAATATTATAGGTAATTTCTAGAGGAAAAAAAAAACTGTCACTGCAGCCAGAATGCTTAAGGGAGTGGTTTTGGCAAAGATGAGATGAAATTTGGACCTTCTAGAACTAAATAGATTTGATTAGAGAGAATGACAGGAATGTTGAAACTTCATAAAGTGAAAATCCTGCTTTATTTTTCTGACATATCTGGTGTCTAAGTACTGGGTCAAGCACATAATAAATGCTAGATATTTACTTTTAGGTCAGTGAGTAAACTGGCTTGCTCCCTCCACCTGCTCCCTCTACCTGCCTCCTGGATTATTTTAGAGCTATGTAAACTGGATTCTGGTCACCTTTGAGGAGCCTTCAATTCTTGTGAATTTCCCCTGATCCCCTGGGTTTTCATGACACATTCCTGGTTCTCTCCTTACCTCTAGCCATCCTTTCTCATTCTCTTTGACTTTTCCTCATGCATCTGTCCCTTAAACAGCAATCCTCCTCAAGGCTCCAAATGTAACCTGTCTGCTTTTTCACGTCACGGCATTTACATTGGGACTACTAGTTGTAATTTAATGAGTTCCAAATTCAAACATCTATTGCACTCCTTTTTCTAAGCAACAGACTAAGGTGACTAATCGTTTACTACAAAACCCCACCTAGGTTTTCCATCAACATCTCGAATTCAACTCTTCTAAATGCAAGCCCAGCATCCCAGTACATACCTGTTTCCTGATCCCATGTTCCTTATCTCAGTAAGGCACATCCATTCTCACTCAAAATCCAGAAACCTTGGGGTCTTCTGGGATCCTTCCTGCTCATCAGCAATTTCACCTAATTCTGAATATTCAACAATATTTTCTCCATACCATTCATATTCTTCAACTCCACTGACTTGTTGGCTAGTCCAGTCCTTCATCATCTTTCCTGCAATCATTTCATTAGATTGTTAGCTAATTCATTTCACTGTTTCTGTCTATACTCACTTCCATCCATCCTCAACCTACTCCCAGGGTTATAGAACAGAAACACATGGTTGGTTCTATCATTGCCAAGTTTAAACTCCTTTCATGAATTTCCTTTGCCTACAAAATCAGAGCGAACATATTCAGTTGATGTTAAAGGTTCTTCCCTGATGCTTATATCTCCTTCAGTCATTTCTGTCACCCCTGCATCCAAGCACCTGATGCTCTAATAACAATTGATTTCTGTTTCAGGGCGGGTCACATTTGTATAAAATGCCAATATCTGTGCATGTGCTTCTCCTTTTAGCAGCAATGCCTGGCCCACAAACCCCAGTTCCTTTCTCCTTCCCTGACAAGTCTAATCATTTTCTAAAGTCCAGTTCAAAGAACAGCTCTCCAGAGACATCACAGACCTCCACAACTTAAAAATTTAAGGTAGTCATGCTCTGGGATTTCATAATGCTTTGTAGAAACCTTCATAACAGCTTCTTCCCCATCATTTTAATTTACTTGTGTCTCAATGTGACTGTTTTCTCCACTGAACTATAACCTTCTCACAGATCACTTTTAAGTCATCTTATACCTTCTCAGCAGCTACCTTGTACCCAATCCTTGAACAGTAGACTACAGTGATTCTGGCACTAATTCATGACTCTAGAGATCTAAATTTTAGACTTTACCTTGCAGTTTATCAGCCATATGACTGAGGTTGTTTAATCTCTTTGAACTTCAGAGATTTTTATATGTAAAAGAAGATAAAATCATTTATTTTTTTCATTCAATCAATATTTATTAATTTATACTACATGCCAGGCATTGTTCTAGGTGCTGGGAATATATTACTGAACAAATATATTAAAATATATGTATATATAGAATATGTATTTGAGTAGACACCTAATTAACAGATTTGTTTAAACATTTAAAGAGATAATTATGCATAAATGTCTTTTCAACTATGAACTATTATGGCAATCTTAGATCTTATTTCTTTCTGACATAGGAAAATCTGGAAAAGTAAAGTACAGATCAAACATCATAAGACACCCTAGTGCTCATTCTAACATTTCTGTTTAGTCTAAATTATAATTAATTTTTCTCTTTATTTTTTCTTTTCAAGTGATTTTGTGAAATTTGATGCTAAACAAGAACATTCATCAAAGTGACCTCCAAGGTGATTTTAATTAACAATTTACAACTTAATAATAGTATACAAGACAAAGAAAAAAGGGTCTGTCTGATTTTATGTATTAAAGTTGAACACCCATGCCTACCCACAAGCAGAAAAACTATATTCTTTCTGGTTTTGTTTTGTCCATGCTGGAGTTTTTAATGATTAATTTTAAATAGATTTCTAATCACCTTAAAGATGAAAATATAAGGATTAAGGGAGGAGGCACTATTGTGAATGAAACAAGTAAGCACCAGGAGTGAGGAGACCCAGTTCCTGTCACAACTCTACTAGAAACTTGTTTTCATGCACATCCAAGCTGTTAAATGATGGGATTATATGCACTAAAATCTAAGGGCCCATGTAATCAGGCCATCGTCACTCACAAAAAGAATCAGATTTGCTGAACCTAATTCCAAAAGGTAAGACTAGTAAACTCTCTAATCCCACAGAGTCAGTCAGATTTATGTATGAACAATATGTTTGAAGGGCTCAGAAATATTTGCTGTTTTCTTGTCCAATTCTGTCCTAAAAATGGATAGTGAAATATAAAACAGAACTATAGAGCTGGAAAATAATTATATCAGTATTTAGCATTAATTGAGTACTTACTTCATTTTAGGCATTAAGCTAAGTGCTATATATGTGCTACCTACTTTAATGCTAACATCCCTATTTAAAATAGATATTGTTATCCTTAAATTCTATAAACAAAAAAGCCAAGGCTGAGGGAGATTTATGTATGGGCCAAGTTATAAGGGGGGAGGGGAGGATTTAAACCAAAGCAGCCTGGTCCCACACTCTGTGCTTCCTCACTAACCCATAGTGCTAGTGGAGAACAAATGAAAATACTATAGTAGAAAACAGCGATTAAGCTGTCTGACTTCAGACGTGCCTCAAGGTGCCCATGGAAATAACCACTGCACCTTTAGTTAGTTGAGTTATCTCATTGCCATCTCCAGGAGGGATGGCCTTTCCCAAATTCCATTTTGTACCTGACCTGGGAACACACCTCTTCTCTGCTGCTCCATTTCATAACTTGAGTATGATGATTGTAAGCACAGAAAGCCACTATCATGTTATCCCAGAACTTAGCTCTTCCTTTTCCATAAGCTCTGGAAAATGGAAATCAGGCTTGGGACCTGAAATCAAGACATACTTAACCCTAACACTCCCGACTCTCATCCCCAAGCCAGCTAAGCTCCTTTTGCATCTCCCCATTCACATCTTCTAAGGGAACATCCCAGCTCTTGTTGTAGGTGTCCTAACCCTTTGCCTTCATTCAGACTGTTGACACATACCCCTATTCATTAGTACCCACCAGAAGAATCAGTGGAATGCCTTCCTAGGGGTTCAGTGTAGGAGGCAACCCAATAGGGAGGCAACATGAAGGAGTTAGGAAGAGCAAAAGGCATAAAGAAGCAGCAAATTCAACTTTTAACTTGGCTACTAACTGGTTATGGGACCACAGGGAGGTCATTTGTCCTCCTGTAGCCTCTCTATCCTCCTTATTAATATTAAAAATGTGAGGGACTTAATTGTTCCAGATCTTAAGGCCAGAATTGTTTTGTTTTTAGCTGCACCTAAAAAGCTTTGAGTAGATCTGGAAAACAATGGGCCCTAATGGGCAAAGGGAAATGGCTCAATCTAGGGAGGTAAAAAAATTTAGCCTCAGGGCAGGAAGCCTCTACAGCAGAGATTAAATTTTGGATGGTTTGATTAGGTGTACCTCCTTAAACCTTGGTGACTGTACATTTAATAAGTAGTTTCAAAAGTGTCCTTTGTGTGATAATTGCCTCATCTAATCAAAAGCAAATCATCACACTAAAAGCAAGTGATTCAGAGAAATGCCTGTTTTTCCAGCATAAAACATTTGGAGCATAAAACAAAGTTCTAGATTATTTCCTAAATTTAGATAAATAGATACATTGATAGACAGATAGATAGATAGATAGATAGATAGATATAATCCCATCTTCCTCCTGCCACCTACACCCCTTTCTTATACATTCTTTTAATGCTTACTTAATCCATGCCTACTATGCGTCATATTCTCCCAGTGCTACCAAGATGAGTAATACAGCCCAGCCACTGAGAAGGTGATCGCTTAGGCCAGCAATTTTCAACTGGTGTGCCATCAAATTTTTCAAACATGCAATACCTGACTATTTAGTCAAGGGCACTGACCTCTTTTTTGATAGATGGTCAAATAAAAAATGATAATAGCCAACACAACAATAGCCATCTGGTGTGAATGAATAATTTTTTTGTTAGATCGTCAAAAATGTATTTTCTGGTGTGCCACAGAAATTTTAGTAATCAGTTTATGGGTGCCACAAGATAAAAAAGGTTGACAATGACTGGTCTAGGCTATCACCTAGCACAGTGTACCTCAAGGACTGTGGAGAGAAATGACAAAGGTGTGATAAAGTGCCTTGGTCGTGCCTTGGAGAGAGTACACTTAGTATGTAATTCACATGTGGCTGATGAATAAAACTGCAGCTGGGCATAGATATCACTCAATATCAACTCTCTGAAGTCTTATGGGAAAAGAATTTTAAATTTTAGAAATTTGAGGGGAAATTTTTGACTTTCCTAAGGACTGCCTCCTCCTTTCTGAGTGTAGTATATATGTAACTTTGCTTATTTCTTTTTGTTCTCTTCCTATCTGGAAACTCAAAGTGAAACTGATGATTCACTTCATTCCTATGTGTAACCTTTGTGCATTTGCACAAGGTTTGTGCATTCTTCCCTGTTGCTGATTCTTGCCCTACATAACTTGCATTTTTGTGTTGTTCTTGTCTGTCTCCTCAAATATATATTATAGTTGATTTCACATTCTAAAGCTCAGAGGCATAAAAATCTTAAAAAATGATGAAAAGATTTTTGTATTTTTCTTGAATCACAAACCCTTTCTAGCTAATAACTGTTTCCCTCTGTCTGGCTTGTGTTTGTAAGAACACACCTACAGGCTCCAGAACAATTCCAGGGCAGCCAAATCCTGCTTTTCCAGTTCTTCTGCACCATGAGGCCTCCAGGACCCAGGCCTCAAAGCACCTCCCAGCAAGTTCTTAGGATTTGGGATCTGACTGCAGCCAAGTGCAGCTTTACTGTGAACACCATGACTTTGCATTTTTGCTTTTAGAAGTCAGAATAAATGTGTCCTCTTTGGGGGTCACACATCCAAGTTTATTGAGAAGATTTTTATTGATGGTACTAATTTTTCCTGAGCATGTTTAAACTTTTTAATGCTACAAAAATATTAAGTATATAAGAATTATTAGCAAGAATAACTAAAGAATGGTTCAAAATAAGGAAACTAAAGCCTAGGTAAAAAGTAACAAGTCCAAAGTTACAGGATCAAGAAATGATAAAAAGAGAATTTTAATCTGATTTCAAAGAACATCCTCTTAACCCCTAAAAATGTGTAAAGTTTCAGAGATAAAAGTTTCATGCACCTTTTTGGAAAGTCTTCCAAAAATATTTAAGTCCGTTCTCCTGGGCTGGTAAATGAATAGATGACCTTTAAAAAAAAAAAAAAAAAAAAAAAATATATATATATATATATATATATATATATATATATAATTACAAGGTTATTGCTGTGCCACAAAGGCTTTATTATTCTCATAGAAGAGCAGAGTGTCTGGGACTGAAGATTCCTGGGAAAGTCTAGTGCAGCCCTGTCACTGGCTCCATCACCCCTTTCATTGCACAGATGTGGGTCCCTGGTGGCCATCACTGTGGTTCTCGCCAGTTAGAGAGAATCACACCATTCTACCACCAGACCCTGCTGAACCAGGGAGTCTCCCAGAATTATTTACTATGAGAAGGAAGGGCATGATGACAAGGAGAGCAGCACTCTCATCTGGAACAGAGGATCGACCTGCTTCTGCTACTAAGCTCTCTAGGGCTGGCCTGAGTCCTGTCTTTCCCAAGTCCTTTACTCTGGAGACAACTCCAGTGCACTTTCAGTAAATCTTTTGTTTGTTTGACTGTCTTCCTGTTCTTATGCAACCACAATAGGTTTCCATGCAACAGAAATATCCTTCAATAATAAAATGGCTCAACAAAGAGTCAACAGCTACTAAATAATAAAAAATGTATATTATGTTCTACAACAAATTCAGACAACCCATAGTCTGCACATTTCAAAGACTTTTGAAGACCTTTGGGCCAATTGCTTTTATTCCCCCAGCTTTATTGAGTTGTAATGGGCATAAAATAGTATATAAGTTTAAGCTATAAAAGTGATGATTTGGTATATGTATATATTGCAAAATTTTTACTTAAGGTTACTTAACACAGCCATTATTCACATAGATGCCTTTTGGCAGGGGCAGGGGATGAGAACTTTTAAGATCTACTCTTTTAGCAACTTTCAAGTATACAATACAGTATGGTTAACCATAGTCATCATGCTATACATTACATCCCCCAAATATATCTTATATTGATCTTATAACTGAAAGTTTGCACCATTAGACCACCCTCACTTATTCCCCCACACATACAACTCTCTGCCCCAGGCAACCAAACACCAATCTACTGTTTCAATCATTCCATTTCTTTTTTTAGATTCCACATGTAAGTGTAGTCATATAGTATTTGTCTTTTTCTGTCTGACTTATTTCACTTAAGGTAATGAATGCTCTTAAGATTCATCCATATTGTCACATATGACAGGATTTTCTTCTTTTTTTTAATGCTGAATTATATTCCAGTATGTTTGTATGTATCCATCTGTGTGAGTGTGTGCGCATATATATATAATCACATTTTTTCTCCATGCATTCATTAATGGGCACTTAGGTTGTTTTCGAGTATTGGCTATGGTAAACAATGTTGCAGTGAATATGGAAGTGCTGATACCTTTTCCAGATAGTGATTTTTATTTCCTTTGGATACACACACAAAAGTAGGATTGCTGGATTATATGGTAACTCTATTATTAACTTTTTTAGGAACCGCCATGCTGTTTTCCATAATGTCTGTAGCAATTTACATTCCCACTAACAGTACACAAGGGTTCTTTTCTTTTCTCCATATCCTTGCCAGCACTTGTTCTTATTGCTCCTCTTCCAATAACAGTCATTCTAATGTGTGAAATGACACGTCACTGGGCTTTTGACTTGTATTTTCCTGATAAATAGTGATGTTGAGCACATTTTCATTGGCTTTTTGTACATCTTCTGTGAAAAAAATGTCTATTCAGGACTTTTGGTCATTTTTTAAATCAGGATGTTTTGTGTTGCTATTGAACTGCATGAGTTTCTTATGTATTTTGGATATTAACCCCTTATCAGATATATTATTTACAAATATTTTCTCCAATTTTGTAGGTTCCCTTTTTATTTTGTTGATTGTTTCAAGACTGTGCTGATTTTAAATATTACATCCTCTTAATCAAAATCACTTAAAATCTCAACTATATTAAGATCTGACATGCAGACTGATTATCCCCGAAAAATGTGATTTAAAAATCCTTTTCATATTCTGAGTGCCTAATTTGTGCCTGGGAAAGATATTTACCATAACTGCCATAATCGGTGTATCACCTATGTTTGAGAAACATGCCCTATCAGTATTTCTCCGTGTTTACATTTACGTCTTTATTGTACAATTTGAAAACACTCTTTCATGTTGGTAAAACTAAAACAAAAACAATAAAAACAGGTGCCAAATCCGTACTGGATTTAATGCACTGCTAAGAAGTAACAGTCTAACATCTCTAGCAATGTAGAGAGATTTTGAAGATTTCCCAACTGCTTTACATACATGTTTCCTCTTCCTACCCTTTGTCCTTTGTTAACTTCTCTGCCTGCCCTCTAATAAGATCCTCTTTGCAGCCAACAGGGTCGCCTGTTTTTGAAGATTAGGAATCTCTTACATCCACACAGTGCTTTTCTTTCATGATCCCCTCATGTTATTATCTCACTGTAACCCTATAAAAGAATTTGGTCAGGGATTATTTTCTTCATATAAAAGAGGAGGAGACTGAGACTCAGGAAACACCATTGACATCATGAAAATATACAAGCTGTTATAGGCTGAGTGGGAACACCAACCAGGTTTGTCTAGCCTCCAACACAGCACTCCCTTGAAGGTGCAATCCACAGCATTACTGCTGTGCCCCAAATCCCAAAGCTTCCACATCAGGCCTAAGGAAATTTACATCTTGCTTATTACAGAGATGCTGAGCAGAAAGAGTCCTTTGATTAACATATAATTCAAATTATATCAATTTATTCTGCTGCATCCCACCTCATGCACAGCAAGAGCCGTATTTCTAAATTTTCTTACAGTGGTGGCTAGGATCCTACCTGAGCTACTGGCCTCTCACCTCTTCTTCTACTGCTTGTTCCTTTGCTCCCTCCACTCCAGCCACTTGGAATTCTTACTTTTCTTTAAATACTCCAGGGATGTTCTTCCCTCAGACCCTTGAATTTACTCTTCCTTCTACCTCAAATATCTTCCCCAAGATTGCCACATGGCTTTCCACCTCACTTCTTCAAGTCATTCTCAGAGGTGACCTTCACAAAGAGAACTTTGTTGAGCACTGTACTTTGAATGATACCCTCTGGCCCACCATTCCCCCCCCCAGCAGCTGTATTTTTTACTTCTAGCACTCATTTTTGAACACAGTGTTAAAAACTTTTTAAAAATTTTATTTTGTTCCTTATTCTATCTATCCCCAATAGAATATAAGCTCCATGAGTCAAGATTTTGCCTCTTATAGTCAATGTTCCTGGCACAATAATGAAAAGTTAGAACAGTGTTTTGCAAAAAGCAGCTGATCAACAAAAAATTGTTGTAATTTATATTAAGTAAAGAAATTAAAATCCTAGAACTTCTACCTATGAACAAGAAAGTAAGGATGCATATGGAACATCCCAGGGACCCTGTGCTTGAGCAGCTCACAATCTTGATGTAGGAAATAAGAGCACTTGATCAACTAACCACAGCATGCTCTGGTAGAATACAGGCACAGATAAAGTAGCTTGGGAAGCAGGACAAAGAGCCATTAATGCTCCCTTGGGAGATCTGAGAAGCCTTCTCAGTGGTAATAATATCTGAGCTGTGATCTTGATGTATGAGAAAGAATGTGGAGACCTGGAGAATGAGAAGTAAGGACAATCCAACCATAGGTGACAGCATAAATCAATGCTCAGATTGTGACAGTGCTTGTTATTCAAAGGTGGCCCTTCGAAAGCTACCTCAGATGGTAAAGCAACAGATATTATTGGGACATGCCCATGCTTGGTCCTTCTAAATGTTACCTCATTCAATCACCATTTGAATCAAGTACAAGAATTAGATATTATCACTCCATTTTGAAATAATGCAACTGAAAAGCTGGAAGTTTAAAGAATCTGCCAAGATTACTCAAATCACTAATGCTAAAGCTTGATCTTGAACAGAAGTCTGTATAAGCTTAAAACTCCTATTTTGTGCTTCAGTACTTTTTCAGTCTATGATAGGATTTCCTTTTGTTATTTTTATTTTTACACTGAGGAGGGAAATTTACTGTATAATATGTGTTAATCAACAAAATGTTTTTTTTCAAAATTCCACTTTGAAAAGTATTAAAATAGTATATGCTCACCATAAGGGGAAACATGAGGCAAAAATGGAAGTATATATATATTTTTTAAAGTTAGCCCCTGGCTCACTAACTTCTCTCTTTCCACATGCCATGATGATCAGAAAGGCCCACAACAAAGAGTGTTTCCTGAGGTCCAGGTCACAGAATGAAGACAATGTGAGGAGATGGCCACATAGCGTGGGTACAAATTAAAAGGCTGCGTGTGGGAGCCCATGAAATTTGGGGTTATTTATTACTACAGCTGGGCAACCTCAGCTCTTCTCAGAGACATAGGTAAAATGAGGAAGGAAAAGAAGTTTTACAAAGTGCAACAATTCCAGTTGAAAAAAAAGAACCACAGGGATCAAGAAATGGCAAAAAATCAATATCATCTTCATGAAAGGGGTGACAGTTAACGTTATCCTAGTCAGGAAGCAGCCAGGAAATAGACACTACTGTAATGCTGAGGTCAGAGGGAAGGTAATATAGTAGTTCCCCCATATCTGGAGGGGATAAGTTCTAAGATCCACAGTGGATGCCTGAAACCACAGAGAATGCCAACCCTATATATGTTATGTTTTATCCTACACATACAACCTATGATAAAGTTTCCTTTATAAATTAGGCCCAATCACCAGTAACAAAATAGAACAATTATAACAATATACTTGAACAAAAGTGATGTGAACATCTTTCAGTCTATTATTTAGTAAAATAAGGTTTACTTGAACACAAGCACTGCCATAACAGTATCGTCAATCCAACACCTGAGAGGGCCCCTGAGTGACTAATGGGTGGGTGACACATACAGTGCAGACACACTGGACAAAGGGACAATTTATATCCTGGGCAGGATTAAGCAGGGCAGAGTGAGACAGCGCAAGACTGAATGGTGTACAACTTAAAACTTGTGAATTATTTATTTCTGGAATTTTTCATTTAGTATTTTTGGACCATGGTTGACTGTGGGTAACTGAAAGTACACAAAGCAAAACAGTGAATGGGGGGACTAGTGTGCACAGAATTGACTCAAGAGGTGACAGAAGACCTAAAAGGTCAAACAGGTGATGGTGAGGCAACCTAGCAACAGATAACAGGAGGAAATCACTTCCCACCTCAGGTGGAAAGAAAGAGAAAAGGGGTGGTGTAACTAGAGTCAGGGACCAGAGTCAGCTGGCAAAAGCCAGAACCAATGCAGACCTGTCCAGCAGGACCTGGCATTTCAGACATGGCACAGGCACTTCCAGAGACTTCTGCCAAATAGAGAAGGAGAGTAGGCCAAATTCTGGCTTTCTACTCTTTTCCTACCACCTATCTTCTGCCTGGGACTCCTGGAGGCAGAATGGGGGCCAAGAGTCAGATAACCTGGGAACCTAAGAAAGTCAACCTGCAGGGGTCAGCTTCATGCCCTTGTCTTCCCTCAACACAGAACAGAGTAGAGGAAGGATGGAGAATGGACTGGAGGGCAAAGATCCTGAGACTGGCATTAGATCAGGTCTGAAAGCATACTATGGCAGACATTCTGGGTGGGGAAAAAACTTGATTTTTCATTGACACATAAAAATGTTGAGAGCAAAAAGATTTAGCTATCTTTTCAGAATGGCTGGGGCTAGAGCCCAGGTGAAAAAAGGGATATTGATGAGACTAGACATGGAAGCAAAAGCCAGTCCACAAAAAACCTGGCATTCAACACTAAGAAGCTCAAAATCTGTTTCATAGGTGATTGTATATAACCGAACTTATGTTTTGAAAAGAAAATTTTGGCATCATGGTAGATGGTAGCATGGAGGTCAGAACCCATTATTATGCCAGAGACTGACATAGTAAAAGCCTAGTTTGGTATAAGGGTCAGTGAACAACCCTACAGTAACTACAAATGTAATAGAAACTCACTTTCTGGTGGTGTAGGCTCCAAACCAATTGTGAGGTTTGTGAGGACCTGTGTTCTCAGACAATACTTTGAAAATTCTTTTCTGTTTCATGTTTTAAAATTTCTTTAGAAGTAGGGGGATAGAAGCACAAGGGGTCTGGAAACTCCATCAGAAGAAGATCAGTTGCAGAAGACTGATATTTTTAACTTAGAGGTAGGGCATCATTATGTCTTGATTGAAATGTGAGTTACCTTTATAAAGACAGGCTCTCTAGAGTTTATGACCCAAGAAAAAAATTATCTAGTTAAGAGCCCCCTTCTGAATAGAGCCCCCAGATATAACAATAGGACAAACTGAATCTACTCATTGCTTTATTTATTCTTTCCAGGAGTCACTACGTTTTAGGATGTACCGAGTTTCAGCCAGGGAGGAGGGGACCGCAATTCTCCTTCCACTCTCACTTTATCCTGCCGTTACACCAAATGTGATAGGGCATCCTGAAAGGCAGAAGGACAGGAATACGAATAAGAGCGGCTTACATGTAACTGGCACATTTCCAGAACAAGTCACCCTCCTAGTTAGCCACCATTCTGCTGATTGGAAAACAGATGCTCGGAGGGTTAAGTCCAGTCCAGAATCCCAAAGCTGGGAAATGGCAGAGTCACAGCTAGAACACAGGTCTGTCATTCAACTACTCCTACTAAAAATGTAAGCATTGTGCTTTCCTTAAGAGTCTGGAACACACAGACCTTATATGAGCAGTCAGTCAAGGGGAAATACATATTCACAAAGGAGAAGGTGAGGAGGGGAAGTGTAGTGGGCAGCATAGGCATTCAGGGTTGCTGAACCCGCCCTTTCACCAACTTCCCCACAAGCTGTATTTACCAGCAGTTTCTTCACAGCCTCAGCGGCCTCTGGGGTCAGCTCATTCACACTCTTCCTTAGCGCTTCCAGAAGGTGCTCAACAGAAATGCCCAGAGTTTTCAGAAGGAGCTTTAAAGGATCCAGGGTAAGCATGTCCAGAGGTAAAGGCAAGGCATCATTGACAGGAAGTGGCAACTTGTTGATGAGGAAGGCTGTAGCTGCAGAGTAATGGGGAAATCAAGTGAAACGGGAAAATGCACTCCTGTCTGTGACCTCATTACCTTCCACTCTGTCCATGAACAGCTCCATTCCAGCCACAGTCATCTTGGGCCTCTGCACCTGCTGTCCCATCTCTCTAAAACTTTCTTTCTTCAGATAGCCACATGTTTTTCTTCTGCACATTATTTGGTTTCTCCTCCAATGTTGCATTCTCAGAGAGTACCTAAAATGGCACTCCTGTAACCCTCTATCTTTGTTCTTCTTACCATTACCTTGAATATTAATTTGTTTGCCTTTATCCTCTCACTAGAAAGTAGGCTCCATGAGAATGAGGAACTTAGGTTTCACTCACCTCATGCCTAGTGCAACCTACCACACCTTGCCACCCAGTAAGCACTCAAGAGACACTATGACTGACTGCACAGGGATGCATTTTGCACATGGCTATATCTACAACTCATGCACTCACAACAAAAGTAGAAATGCCTTAAGGGATCTCCACCTGGGGACATGGATGGACCCAGGCACGGCCCAGGAACTGTTCCCAACCAATTTAACTCAATGCCACAAAAATAATTGAGAACTGATTCTGTACCAGTTGGTATAGCAACCTAGAAGAGTAAGACAAGAATACTCTATTCAGGGAACTCACAGGACAATAAAGACCTGTGTATGCCACGGTGCAGCCTAAGCTGTGCTAACACTGTGGACAAAGCTCTATGGAAACACAGAAGAAGGAATGACTAATTCTAATGTGGGAGAGTGATATAAGGATCTTTCCAGAAGCCAGAATTCTGTCTTGGGGTAAATGTCAGGATCACAAGGTAAACAAGGTAACAGCATTTAAAAGAGAACAAAGTTAATAAAGGCACTGAGATATTAAGATAAAAGTGCATACACAGTATGGGAAGTCTTCTGTCCAGAATGGTTGGAGTTCAGAATTACACTGGGGTGTGCTGAGGAGGGATAAAGAAAGTAAAGCTGCAAAATTTAGGGTAGGTCAGATTTTTCAAAGCCTCAAATGGCATACTAATGAGTTTGAGGTGTTTTTATTTTTCCTGAGGGCAATGGAGAACTATCGAGGCTTTTATATGACAAAACTGCATTTTATATCTTCAGTTTTAGAAAGGTAACTTTCACATAGAAAATGAATCAGCATACAATATAAAGAATGGAAAAGTATGTAAGACATATAAATGTTACTGCAGATATATAAACACACATGTGCATGATCATACATATAAGAATACATATCCTCCTACCAGCTAAGATGCTATCATAGTTCATTTTCCTTTGAAATCTGTTTCATTGATCATTTAGATTATGAAAGGTGAGCCTGTTCACCTCTCTCATCTTCATCTTCCACCACCAGTTTTCCCTCCAAAGTTCTCTTCCAAAGGGGCAGGATCGATTTCCCTCCATTGAGCTTTCAGTGGCCACCTCTGCCAACAGATATTTGTCCCTGCACACTAACGAACAACAAAATAGCTGAAATGGATGAAGTTACAAATTTGTCAAAAATTCTATATAAACACAAGACCAAGTTGCCAAGGTGGGTGGGGGCAGCACCTAGTTTTTCATAATTCATCTCCTTATATCAAGTACTTCAGTGATTGTCTTCCCTGTGAGCACTTACAATTTCTGGGGAAAAGTCCTCAAAGCTTTCTGTGCTTTGAGTGAGCAGTGACCCAGATGCAACCAAATATCTTTCTGGTGGTTAAATGACTCTCTCTAAAAAGAATTGATCATTGTTTTCCAAGAAGCCAGCTCCTATAATAGTTTGCCCCTCATTTCTTGCACAGAACTCTAGATGAGTATCATTGTGTTGGCTTCTGCAGAATTCTTAGCTCCCACGCCACACTATCTGCGCCCTGAGAAACACTATTTATGTCTGATTCATGTCTGAATCTTCTGGTGCTTATCCAATGATCTATAGGTTGTAGCCATTCATATATGGCCACTGAGTATGTGTACAGATAAATGCAGCTATGTCTGGAAACCTGACTGATTAGAGATGACAGCAAGAATGATGCCCCCTAGTTTCAAAGGCATAAAGAAATGAAGTTGCAAAGTCAGATTTTGAATAAAGATTAAGGAAGACAAGGAAAACTATGGTGAACAATGTCCGACAGCTAACCTTTGTTCACTCTCAGTGGGAGTTGGCTAACTTCTTATGTGAGATGAACTAGGGTTGTTAAGTTAGAGCTCAGATTGTAGGGGTCAGTGAGGTACATCTGAAATCTCTTCCAACCTTACCATTCTGTGGTTCCAAAACTACCTGTACCATATTCCACTGGGAGCCTACACTCACTGGTTGCATTCCTATTACCAGAAAAGTAGAGAAATATATGTTCCAAGACACTTACCAGAGTAACTGCATATGCCAATGGTCACCAGCAGAAGCACAGCGACCAGCTTCATGACAGGCTTTCTGTGATATTTACCAGGAGTTTAAAAAGTGAACCCACCGAGCCAGGGGTTCTGCTTGTGGCACCAAGTGTTAACAGCTGCTTTTGTGGCCAAATATATTTATACACCTGAAGGCCACCACAGCAAAGGAGAGCATGAAGGTCATGTTTCCTCATTAAACAAATTGGAGGATTTTCCGCTTTCCCTCAGGTTCCCACAAGAAACAAAGCCCTGACTTCAAGCATTATCAAGGACCTCTTGCTCAAGCCCTTGCAGAGACCATGGAGACACCAGGGGGAGGCAAAGAGCTCTAAGGATCCTTCACTATTCTTTAAGGTTTAAACAATATTGAAAAAGAAGGGAAGGTTTTACACTGGCATTCGAAGGAGTGAAAGTTCCATTGAATTCCTCCAGCTTTGTATTTCTTTCAAGTTGGGAGACTCACACTACCCAACGAGATGTCAATCCAGTTGTGGAAGAATCTGGAGGTCCCATTGGCTCTGGTATAACACAGACTCAGCTGAATGGCACATAGCCCCATACTTCTTACATCCACCCATCCCAACCAGACTCACTCATCTACCATGGCAAGGTCCTTCATATTTTCTAGTACCTCAGGGCATGCCTTCTATGGGCTCTCATGAAGAAGAATAGGCTCAGGATCTAAAATCAAAATGCCTATTTCAAAAACCTGAGATTTGATTTTTACTCTTTGTGTAATCTTGGATTTTTATAGACATATTTTATGTATAGTATCAGTCCCCTCATCTAAAATAGGGACACTAAGAGCAGGACAGTCCCAAAGATGTGACCCTAAGAAAATATTTTTTCGCAAGACTCTGTCTAGATAAACAGGTGGAGTCACCAAAATATCCACTTTAGAACCATCTGGCAGTTCAACTCCTTGCAATCATGTGAAAAAAAATGCTGTGCTGGCCACAGAAACAATCTGATGGATACGCCAGGAGGACCCAGAATGACCCTATGTGTGAGCCCAAGCCTTGGAATTCTCTGGGGAACCTGATGCCTCACATGTAAGGAAGAGAGGACAAAAAACCTCGAAGGAAGACTTCTGCCAAGATGGAGGCGTAGGTGGAAACACTTTGCTTCCTCACACAACCAAATACAGAAACAACAAAGTTTTAACAACAATAAATGCAACCAAACCACACAGAAAATTGAACAATACAGAGTCCAAAAACAACCAACCGCTCAGCTAAACCAGTGAGGGGGTGAAGCCAGCAGCGGAGCAGGTCAAGCAAAAAAGATCCCCCAACCCCAGCAGCCAGCAGGCAGCCAAGAGAGCTGATCCCAAGTGCAGGGTAGCTACCGGTGGACCCAGGGAAGGTGCAGCGCGGCGGCTGTCTGTCTGCAGTCCTACATTTGCATGCAGATAAACCCGTGAAGAGACGAGCATTGAGACAGACCGCTCAGGCCCCAGCGCATGGCAGCGCTCAGATGAACAGGCGGGCCTCCAGCAGAGGCGGAGCGGGAGAGGACCGCCATTTGCTCCCTCTCTGACCCCGCCCCCACATACAGTGTCAGAAACCAGCGACCTGGGTGGCCCTACCCTGGTGAACACCTAAGGTGCCTCTCCTCATAAGTAACAGGCACAAACAGATCAAAACATGGCTCAAGAACAACTCAGAGCTCCAGAGCTAATAAATCTAAGCGATGAAGAAATAGCCAAACTTTCAGATGCACAGTTCAAAACACTGGTGATCAGGATGCTCACAGAACTGGTTGATTTTAGTCACAAATTAGAGGAACATATGAAGGCTAAACTAATTGAAATGAATGGAAATGCACAGGAAACCAATAGTAATGGAAAGGAAACTGGGACTCAAATCAAGGGAGTAGACCAGAAGGAAGGAAAAAATGACCAAACAGAAAAGGATGAAGAAACAAGAATTCAAAAAAATGAGGAGAGGGTTAGGAATCACCAGAACATCTTTAAACGCTCCAACATCCGAATTATAGGAATACTAGAAGAAAAAGAGGAACAGTCATGAGTGGAAACCTTATTTGAACAAATAATAAAAGAGAATTTCCCATTCTGGCAAAGGAAATAGACTTCCAGGAAATCCAGGAAGCTCAGAGAGTCCTAAAGAAGTTGGACCCAAGAAGGAACACACCAAGGCACATCATCATTACATTAGCCAATATTAAAATGAAGGAGAGAATCCTAGAAGCAGCAAGAGACAAGAGGGCAGTCACCCACAAAGGAGTTCCCATCAGATTGTCAGCGGATTTCTCAAAAGAGACCTTACAGGCAAGTAGAGGCTGGGAAGAAGTATTCCAAGTCATGAAATCCAAAGACCTACAACCAAGATTGCTCTATCCAGCAAAGCTTTCATTTAGAATGAAAGGGCAGATAAGGTGCTTCTCAGATAAGATCAAGTTCAGAAGAGTTCATCATCACCAAGCCCTTATTATACGAAATGTTAAAGGGACTTATCTAAGAAAAAGAAGATAAAAAATATGAACAATGAAAGGACAGCAAACTCTCAGTTATTAAGAACCACACCTAAAACAAAAGCAAATTAAGAGAACAGCTAGATCAGGAGTGAACCATAGAAATGATGATCACATGGAGGGTTAGCAACAGGGGAGTGAGAGAAGGAGAAGGGGGAGAAGGTACAAAAATAAGTAGCATAGACAGTAGATAAAATAGTAGGGGAATTATAGAATCTAAAGGACTTGAGACACATGTTCATAAACTAAAGGGGGGAATGGTGGGGGAGGGGTGTGCAGGGTGGAGGGGAATGAAGGGGGGAATAGAACAAATGTAATGGCATAATCAATAAAATAAAAAATATATTTAAAAAAACCTTGAAGTAGAGAAGTGGGGGTCGAGACTCCCTGACTGAATGGCATGCCTGGCCCCACCACCAAAGAGGGACTCCACATACTCTGAGGAACATATGCCTAGGCACAGCTCCTGTAAGATGCAAGGTCAGGAGCGGGGGTCCAGATTGAGGTTGTGGTACTGGTATGAGGATTTAATAAAACTATGTTGACAAACTATGTAACTGAACAAAATCAAGATGAACACTAAATAAGTGTCGCTTGTTATTAATTCCTATACATAACTGAGATGTCATGTCCATCTATTTCTTTTTCTGCCACTTTGCAAACTGCATGAAGGTCATGTGCTACTGCCACTCATACGCTATCTCCCCACTTCTTCCATTTTTCCTGGGTATTACTACCTCTCCAGGGATGCAGATGTGCCAAAACACTCAAAGAGCAAGGTTGTGAGGCAAGTGGAGTCTATGCCACCTTTTATTTTTATGTTATAATCTTTTCATGGGACACTAACCAGCCCTGCCCTCATCTGTGCTTGACATTTGCAAGTTTGCTTTCAAATCCTTTCCCTACTCTTCCCCTCTCGTGCTCTGCCCTATACAGGAAGCTGAGCTTGCCACACAGTGGCTTCCAGACTGCCTTGCCAACTGTATCTGGTTAGGATTGAATAATGGAAGGAGCCAGTAGAGATTAGAAGTGAAACAATGGGGAAAGCCAGGCTATTTCTTCCTCCTTCTGCTTCAGAAGACATCTTGGCCAGTGACTGCATCTTCTTGATGGCTCCAGAGGCTTCCAAAAAATGTCCTCTGTCTGTGGTCCCACCCAAGCCAGGCAGATCTGCCACTGTTCAAGCTTCGAATGGATTGCTCTAGCTCCAGGTCCAGCTCCTCACTCTGTCCCTCCTAGCCAAGAAGAGTAACAGTTTCTAGCATTTTGTAACCTCAGGGTTGACTCACCTCCACTACTACCACCAACTGCATTTCTAATACATTGTAAATTATTCTCCAAGTTGAATTCCTCCTGTTTGATCACCTAGTCAGGTTTTGATCGCCTGGCTTGGTTCTGACTCATATAGCATCCTAGAACACTGTAACTCTTTCAGTAAAAGCAGATATTTCTTTTGAAACTCTGATAAGCTCCATCCAAGTTATGAATCCATGAGGAGCACAGCCAAGACCCATTCCAGAGAAACACAACATCGCACACACAAAGACGTGCTTCTCTCTTACAGCCTCTTAAGTGCTTACTACTGTCTCAAGCATGTCTGCTGGTCCCAGAGGTGAGTTATTCCCCAAGAAGCTCCTTGGACCCATTTGCTAATACATTTCTGATAGGTCTATTAAGTGGTCTGCCAGATGTGCAGTCTTGACTGAAACCAAATAGTAGACATGAATGGCTACACTAAAGACTGGAACCTGCTCCACACAAATACACACACACAGGCATCAAGCACAACTGTTTTCACTCATGCGTTTAACAAGTATTTATTGAACATCTACTGTGTGCCAGGCACTGTATCAGGGACTAGGACTGGAGGAATAAACCAGACAAGCAACTTTCATGCCTTCATGGAGCTGACAGTATAGTGGGATAAACAGACAATAAGCAGGTAAACCAACAAGGAAAAGAACTAGTGGTCAGTGTTCTGGAGAGGCAAATAGGGTGCTATGTTAGAGGACAAGTGGATGGGGAGTCCAGTACGACTTAAAAAGAGACTTGGACATGGCTACTTCCAGGTTCCCTATGATCTGAGCCATTGTACTAATGTCTTTTTATTCTGTATGTTTTTTAGGCTTTCATACCATGGGGCCTTGCTGGGCTAGCTAATTCCTAGAGACAGCAAACAATGCACTTGGGAGTGCACCTTCCATATGCAAACCCACCGATCCAAAGCTCACACAACCAACCACTTCCTTTATGGAGCTCTAACAGCCTAGGCCACTCATCACTCCAGAGCCAGGCGCCAGACAACCAGAGAAAGTCCCTACACCCTGAGCCCCCTGAAATTATTCAAACTACCCTATCTTCAACCTGCTTACCTTGGCTCCCCCATCCCTTCCCATGGGAATCGCAAAAAAGGCTTTGCCCACTTCCTGCCATACCACCAGACAAACCTGGTGCTTCCTGTGTGGCATGCCCCCTTTTCTTGGGATCTGTGATCTTAAAAAGCTTCTTAATGGCAGTCATCTCCAGATCTGTTAGCA